TGTAGCTTTTAAATGGAAAAACACTACTTTAGCTTTTGGGATCCGGTTCCAGTTATAGTTTTTATACCCAATCATAAACACGAGATCTAGTCATATTTGACTCCAAAACACTAATCAAGCTTCTTATTGCTTCTCAAATCTTTGTGGGTGTGGCCGAAGTCCTATGAATTTTCGGTTTTGGAGGCTTCTAAACGGAAAAACACTACTTTAGCTTTTGGGATCCGGTTGCGGTTCTAGTTCTTATACCCAATCATAAACACGAGATCTAGTCATATTTGACTCCAAAAACAATAACCAAGCTTTTTATTGATTCTCAAATCTTTGTGGGTGTGGCCGAAGTCCTATGAGTTTTCAGTTTTGGAGCTTCTAAACGGAAAAACACTACTTTAGCTTTTGGGATCCGGTTGCGGTTCTAGTTCTTATACCCAATCATAAACACGAGATCTAGTCATATTTGACTCCAAAAACACTAATCAAGCTTCTTATTGCTTCTCAAATCTTTGTGGGTGTGGCCGAAGTCCTATGAGTTTTCGGTTTTGGAGCTTCTAAACGGAAAAACACTACTTTAGCTTTTGGGATCCTGTTGCGGTTCTAGTTCTTATACCCAATCATAAACACGAGATCTAGTCATATTTGACTCCAAAAACACTAACCAAGCTTCTTATTGCTTCTCAAATCTTTGTGGGTGTGGCCGAAGTCCTATGAGTTTTCGGTTTTGGAGCTTCTAAACGGAAAAACACTACTTTAGCTTTTGTGATCCGGTTGCGGTTCTAGTTCTTATACCCAATCATAAACACGAGATCTAGTCATATTTGACTCCAAAAACACTAACCAAGCTTCTTATTGCTTCTCAAATCATTGTGGGTGTGGCCGAAGTCCTATGAGTTTTCGGTTTTGTAGCTTCTAAATGGAATAACACTACTTTAGCTTTTGGGATCCGGTTGCAGTTATAGTTTTTATACCCAATCATAAACACGAGATCTAGTCATATTTGACTCCAAAAACACTAATCAAGCTTCTTATTGCTTCTCAAATCTTTGTGGGTGTGGCCGAAGTCCTATGAATTTTCGGTTTTGGAGGCTTCTAAACGGAAAAACACTACTTTAGCTTTTGGGATCCGGTTGCGGTTCTAGTTCTTATACCCAATCATAAACACGAGATCTAGTCATATTTGACTCCAAAAACAATAACCAAGCTTTTTATTGCTTCTCAAATCTTTGTGGGTGTGGCCGAAGTCCTATGAGTTTTCAGTTTTGGAGCTTCTAAACGGAAAAACACTAATTTAGCTTTTGGGATCCGGTTGCGGTTCTAGTTCTTATACCCAATCATAAACACGAGATCTAGTCATATTTGACTCCAAAAACACTAATCAAGCTTCTTATTCGCTTCTCAAATCTTTGTGGGTGTGGCCGAAGTCCTATGAGTTTTCGGTTTTGGAGCTTCTAAACGGAAAAACACTACTTTAGCTTTTGGGATCCTGTTGCGGTTCTAGTTCTTATACCCAATCATAAACTACGAGATCTAGTCATATTTGACTCCAAAAACACTAACCAAGCTTCTTATTGCTTCTCAAATCTTTGTGGGTGTGGCCGAAGTCCTATGAGTTTTCGGTTTTGGAGCTTCTAAACGGAAAAACACTACTTTAGCTTTTGTGATCCGGTTGCAGTTCTAGTTCTTATACCCAATCATAAACACGAGATCTAGTCATATTTGACTACAAAAACACTAACCAAGCTTCTTATTGCTTCTCAAATCTTTGTGGGTGTGGCCGAAGTCCTATGCGTTTTCGGTTTTGTAGCTTCTAAATGGAAAAACACTACTTTAGCTTTTGGGATCCGGTTGCAGTTATAGTTTTTATACCCAATCATAAACACGAGATCTAGTCATATTTGACTGCAAAAAACACTAATCAAGCTTCTTATTGCTTCTCAAATCTTTGTGGGTGTGGCCAAAGTCCTATGAATTTTCGGTTTTGGAGCTTCTAAATGGAAAAACACTACTTTAGCTTTTGGGATCCGGTTGCGGTTCTAGTTCTTATACCCAATCATAAACACCAGATCTAGTCATATTTGACTCCAAAAACACTAATCAAGCTTCTTATTGTATCTCAAATCTTTGTGGGTGTGGCCGAAGTCCTATGAGTTTTCGGTTTTGGAGGCTTCTAAACGGAAAAAATACTACTTTAGCTTGATATATCACGGATTTTACCGATTTTAGCCGTGATATTTGTATTGTTTTTAGAGTCTTTTTGTTGTTACTAGTGTCTTTTTGAGTCTTTTTCATATTTTTACACGTTCGGGACAAATTTGGAGAAAAGGAACCATTCTGGAGCTAAACCAGAGATTTAGAGCTTAAGGAACGATTTCGGTATCAGATCAAGGCATGAGTGTCGACCGACACCTTGGTGTCGCTCGACACCACACGCGGCCCAGCAAAAGTCTCGACGGTTTAAGAGTTTTAAAGCCTTAAGAATCAACCCAGAAGACTTTCCTATTTGCAACTTTAGTCCCTGCACGTTTTTGGAGACTTTATAAATAGTTTTTTGGGTTTTTCTATTTCATTATCTTTGAGATCTCTGATCTCTTATTCTGTTGTATTCTTTGGAGCTTGAACCCTTTGGGAGATAATTGGAGAGAGCTCCTGCAGAGAAGATCTTTCTTAACTCATCTTTTATTGAATTTCTTTATGCTTTCTATTCATAACATGCTTTCTGTTACCATGATCATGTCTGAGTAGTTTGTTTGTTAGGTTTAGGGATTCTCATTAGGGATTTAGATGAATTAATAGATCGATAACCTGTTAGGATAATATCTTTAGAGTTCTTCATCTTTGATTGTTCTTAATGCTAATTCTAGAGTAATTAACTAGAATTTGATCATAGGATAATAGGTATATTCGAGAGGTCATCTATTACTGGAACTATCTTAGGTGGGCAGAAATTACTAGATTCATACGAGAGGTGGTCTAGGAATATCTGTGAACAAATCAAACCTGTTATTAATGCTAGTCTAATTCTAGGAGTTTACATTCGAGAGGTGGAACTTCCTGATATTAGGTTTAGTTAGTCAATTCATACGAGAGGTGGTTGGCTATAAATTAGTGATTTGAGTTCTAGAACAGTTTCTTAATAATCCTAATTAATTTGCTAGATCTACTCTTTATTTATTTCTTGAGAAATCCCTAAGCCTGACGTTTTCCTCATCTGAATTTAAAACCCGATTTACTTGCTTTACTTTTATTTAATATTCTTATTTTCTGTTCAGCTTAATTCAAAACCTGTTAGTCTATTGTGTGAACACGAGAGCTTTGTGGATTTCGACCCTAAAGTACTGCAATTGATCTCTTATTTGAGAGAGTAGTCTTAGGTCTAATTTGACTCACATCAAATTTGGCGCCGTTGCCGAAGTTCCCTTTGCTTCAGCATTAGATTAGGTCTAGAATTTAGTCTAAACTTTTCTTTTATTTTTTTTTAACTTACGCGTTCTTTTTCTTCTTGTGACAGGACTTTAAGGAATTCGAACGCAACAACATGATGCTGATACTCAGACCTGATGTTGCTGGAGTGTTACGTGACAGAAGTGGTCAGGCATACAACGAGGATGGTCAGAGAATTGATGAACATGGAAACGTGATACCAGAAATCGCACACCGTGTCGATCGACACCAGCTGGGTGTCGCTCGACATCATGTGGTAAACAGAGCAGATGGTCGTCAGATGACTCTTGGTGATTACAACAGCCCCGGCCTGTTCTATGAGAATCGACGTGCAATTAGACCCCCTGCGTTTGAAAGAAGCGACGATTTAGGTCTCCAACCTGCATTCTATACTCTTGTGAGTCAGCACCCGTTTCACGGTCTTCCACATGAACAACCAATGGATCACATCGAGAGGTTTGAAGATTTGGTTTCAATCATCAAGGCACGGGTTGTTTCAGAGGATTATCTACTTCGCAAGCTTTTCTCATACTCTCTTGCTGGGGAAGCAGCTTCTTGGCTTCAGGAGTTGATTACGGGATCTTTGACAACTTGGCAGGAGACAAAGATGGCTTTTCTGAACAATTTCACCAGGAATTACTGTTCTTATTCTTACCAAGCCACATCTCCACCTACTTCTGTGAGTAAGATGGAATCAATGCCGGAACAGATTCAGGAAAGTCAGCAAAGAATCTTAGAGATATCCCCTCTTGGAAGGATTGAGAGCAACCTCACAACTTCTTCCCATGCTGTTTTGAAGGAAAGTGAAGATGAGTTCGTTGAAGTTGAGGGGAGCGAAGCTGAGTTTGTGGTTGCAGAGGCAGTGTCGACCGACACCAGTTCCAAAATCCGAGAAATCACACTGTGACGAAGCAGAATCGACCTAACTCGACACTGATTTACAGGATCCCTCGACACACAGTCTTAGTGTCGACCGACACCACCTGGGTGTCGATCGACACTCCTCTTGTACGGAAGCAGAATCGATGTTTGACGAAGCAGAATCGATGTTTGACGAAGCAGAATCGAGCGAGCTCGACACAGCGGAGTCGACGCCAGACAGTAGTGTCGACCGACACTCACCTAGTGTCGATCGACACTGGACGCAGACTGCACCAATCAACCTTGAGTTTTCACCTGTTATTGAACAAGTCTACACGCCTCAAATTCCTTGTCCAATGCCTGTTATTGGTCAGGCATTCTCTGTACAGACTTCCACAAACACTGTTGTTGAGACTGAGAAGGTAGTGGGTACAAGCGAGCAGCCACAAGAAGCGAGAGTCAAATCAATTGCTGAGAATAGATCTACAGAGATGGTGTCGATCGATACCCACGACGAAAATAACTATATCTGTCCGTCAAAACTGTTTTTCGGGCTGAAATCATTGCTTTAAGTCTAGAAACTGTTGTCACGTCAACCACTGCACCCCTCCTACTCCATCCTCCTCCTAAGCAACTGAGGTACTCTCGTTCTCCACCTAAACCTCCTGATTTCATCAATAAGAATTTTAAATTTTTCAAGACTGTTTCACGGTTAAGCAAGCCACGAGTTTCTCGTCGAGCGCTTGTTCGTTCTTTTGATGATTGTGCAGGAAAAAGGAGTATCCCACCCATACCTTAAGTCCTGCCCTGCTGATGTCACTTACTTCCATGGACAACTTCATGCACCCACTGCTTACACACCACCATGGATGATGAGACGTTTTTCCCGGAAGTATTTACTGCCACCTTCTGATCCACCTGATGCCAGAATCACGACATAGTCAAGCTAATGACTGAAAATAAGCGCTTAGTGGGAGGCAACCCACTGGTATGTTTTTCGTTTTTATTTTTATTTTATTTTTATTTTTGTTTTTATTATTTTTCGCCAACTTCGGGTTTGAATGCCACTGGGGACAGTGTCGTTTAAGTCTGGGGGAGGCAGTTACTAACTATGTTTTCTTTTTGATTCTTATTCTTATTTTTCTTTTCTTTTGAGTCGTTTTATTGAGTCAAAATTTTGTTGGAAATTATGATCTTTTTCTCTAGATTATTGCCTGGTTAGTTTAATGCTGCAGATTCAATTCAATCCGACTAATGGAAAATCCAGAGAGTTAATCAATAGACCAGAAGACATCCACGTTTCCAACACAATCCGCTAAAACCTGAGCAAAGTTCATGCTCTTCACCTCGTTAATACGGTTGGTATTCTCAGAACTTATTCCTCGTTCATACCTGATAAATGAGACCAATGTGGAAAAAGAATGGTACTCCTCTCCCTAATTTTTTTTTTTTTTTTTTAACAAAAAAAAAAAAAAAAAAAAAAAATGAGATGATTTTCTTTTGGAGTAAAGAGATAGGAAAATTTCCCGTGATCTCATTATTTTACTTCAAGAGGAATGATCACACGAAGGTTGGAAGCGAGGTTAGGAAAATTTTCGACGATACCATTATTCGCCTACACCTTTGAATCTAAAAAAAAAATGGTTTGAAAAAGAATATGTCTAGGGGAGAGAAAGAGTACCTAAATATGTTGTTATAGTTGATTTATCATGGTATAGTACGGGAATGAGTCTAGAAGGTTCTTGAGTACTGATTTTATTGATGAGATTTATGCGATGAGGGCTATAGGATATAGTTGTGGAATTTGGTTTGGAATTTAGGATGTTGAGAATGCTTGCGGAGAATTACATGGTGGTTAGGATTTGATGCGATCTGTTAGGCATATGGATTTGGTTTGAATGATCAAGGTAATAGGCTAGAGAAATTGGGAGTTTACATGTTTTCAAATTTCTTCCACGGGTTCGGTTTTTTGTGTTTTGCTTGAGGGCAAGCAAAAGCTAAGTCTGGGGGAGTTGATATATCACGGATTTTACCGATTTTAGCCGTGATATATGTATTTTTTTTAGAGTCTTTTTATTGTTACTAGTGTCTATTTGAGTCTTTTTCATATTTTTACACATTCGGGACAAATTTGGAGAAAAGAAACCATTCTGGAGCTAAACCAGAGATTTAGAGCTTAAAGAACGATTTCGGTATCAGATCAGGGCATGAGTGTCGACCAACACCCCTTGGTGTCGCTCGACACCACACGCGGCCCAGCAAAAGTCTCGACGGTTTAAGAGTTTTAAAGCCCGAAGAATCAACCCAGAAGACTTCCGTATTTGCAACTTTAGTCCCTGCACGTTTTTGGAGACTTTATAAATAGTTTTTAGGGTCTTTCTATTTCATTATCTTTGAGATCTCTGATCTCTTATTCTGTTGTATTCTTTGGAGCTTGAACCCTTTGGGAGATAATTGGAGAGAGCTCCTGCAGAGAAGATCTTTCTTAACTCATCTTTTATTGAATTTCAGTATGCTTTCTATTCATAACATGCTTTCTGTTACCATGATCATGTCTGAGTAGTTTGTTTGTTAGGTTTAGGGATTCTCATTAGGGATTTAGATGAATTAATAGATCGATAACCTGTTACGATAATATCTTTAGAGTTCTTCATCTTTGATTGTTCTTAATGCTAATTCTAGAGTAATTAACTAGAATTTGATCATAGGATAATAGGTAGATTCGAGAGGTCATCTATTACTGGAACTATCTTAGGTGGGCAGAAATTACTAGATTCATACGAGAGGTGGTCTAGGAATATCTGTGAACAAATCAAACCTGTTATTAATGCTAGTCTAATTCTAGGAGTTTACATTCGAGAGGTGGAACTTCCTGATATTAGGTTTAGTTAGTCAATTCATACGAGAGGTGGTTGGCTATAAATTAGTGATTTGAGTTCTAGAACAGTTCGTTAATAATCCTAATTAATTTGCTAGATCTACTATTTATTTATTTCTTGAGGAATCCCTAAGCCTGACGTTTTCCTCATCTGAATTTACTTGCTTTACTTTTATTTAATATTCTTATTTTCTGTTTAGCTTAATTCAAAACCTATTAGTCTATTGTATGAACACGAGAGCTTTGTGGATTTCGACCCTAAAGTACTGCAATTGATCTCTTATTTGAAAGAGTAGTCTTAGGTCTAATTTGACTCACATCATAGCTTTTGGGATCCGGTTGCGATTCTAGTTCTTATACCCAATCATATACACGAGATCTAGTCATATTTGACTCCAAAAACACTAACCAAGCTTCTTATTGCTTCTCAAATCTTTGTGGGTGTGGCCGAATTCCTATGAGTTTTCGGTTTTGGAGCTTCTAAACGGAAAAACACTACTTTAGCTTTTGGGATCCAGTTGCGGTTCTAGTTCTTATACCAATCATAAACACGAGATCTAGTCATATTTGACTCCAAAAACACTAACCAAGCTTCTTATTGCTTCTCAAATATTTGTGGGTGTGGCCGAAGTCCTATGAGTTTTCGGTTTTAGAGCTTCGAAATGGAAAAACACTACTTTAACTTACGGGATCCGATTGCAGTTTTAGTTCTTATACCCAATCATACAAACGAGATCTAGTCATATTTGACCCCAAAAATACTACTTTAACTTACGGGATCCAGTTGCGGTTCTAGTTCTTATACCAAATCATAAAAACGAGATCTAGTCATATTTGACTCCAAAAACACTAACCAAGCTTCTTATTGCGTCTCAAATCTTTGTGGGTGTGGCCGAAGTCCTATGAGTTTTCGGTTTTGGAGCTTCTAAACGGAAAAACACTACTTTAGTTTACGGGATCCGGTTGCGGTTCTAGTTCTTATACCCAATCATAAACACGAGATCTAGTCATATTTGACTCCAAAAAAAACTAACCAAGCTTCTTATTGCTTCTCAAATATTTGTGGGTGTGGCCGAAGTCTTATGAGTTTTTGGTTTTGGAGCCTCTAAACGGAAAAACACTACTTTAGCTTTTGGGATCCGGTTGCAGTTCTAGTTCTTATACCCAATCATAAACACGAGATCTAGTCATATTTGACTCCAAAAACACTAACCAAGCTTCTTATTGCTTCTCAAATCTTTGTGGGTGTGGCCGAAGTCCTAAGAGTTTTCGGTTTTGGAGCTTCTAAACGGAAAAACACTACTTTAGCTTTTGGGATCCGGTTGCGGTTCTAGTTCTTATACCCAATCATAAACACGAGATCTAGTTATATTTGACTCCAAAAACACTAACCAAGCTTCTTGTTGCTTCTCAAATATTTGTGGGTGTGGCCGAACTCCTATGAGTTTTCGGTTTTGGAGCTTCTAAATGGAAAAACCCTACTTTAACTTACGGGATCCGATTGCGTTTTTAGTTCTTATACCCAATCATACAAACGAGATCTAGTCATATTTGACCCCAAAAACACTACTTTAACTTACGGAATCCGGTTGCGGTTCTAGTTCTTATACACAGTCATAAAAACGAGATCTAGTCATATTTGACTCCAAAAACACTACCCAAGCTTCTTATTGCGTCTCAAATCTTTGTGGGTGTGGCCGAAGTCCTATGAGTTTTTGGTTTCGGAGCTTCTAAACGGAAAAACACTAATTTAGTTTACGGGATCCGGTTGCGGTTCTACTTCTTATACCCAATCATAAACATGAAATCTAGTCATATTTGACTCCAAAAACACTAACCAAGATTCTTATTGCTTCTCAAATATTTGTGGGTGTGGCCGAAGTCTTATGAGTTTTCAGTTTGGAGCTTCTAAACGGAAAAACACTACTTTAGCTTTTGGGATCCGGTTGCGGTTCTAGTTTTTATACCCAATCATAAACACGAGATCTAGTCATATTTCACTCCAAAAACACTAACCAAGTTTCTTATTGCTTCTCAAATATTTATCGGTGTGGCCAAAGTCTTATGAGTTTTCAGTTTTGGAGCTTCTAAACGGAAAAACACTACTTTAGTTTACGGGATCCGGTTGCGGTTCTAGTTCTTATACCCAATCATAAACACGAGATCTAGTCATATTTGACTCCAAAAACACTAACCAAGCTTTTTATTGCTTCTGAAATCTTTGTGGGTTGTTGGGGTCTGATCCCACACATTTTCGGTAGGATCCACTTGGATCTGTCCACGTCATTATTACATAATAATCCTCTCGGAATTCAAGATATTTTATTGAACTTGACCAGTTGGGAGTTCGATTCAGTTCACTAAAAGAGTTCGATCTTTACCAGCATGGAGTTTGCTTTTATTCAACATACAGTTCGCATAGAGAAAGGCCGAAGCGAGGAGAATATTGTTCGAGGCTCGCAGTAGCATCAAAGCACGGGAGTTCGGAGTCAACAAGAAAGAAATCGGAAAGCCCATGTGAAGCCCAAGACAATTCAAGTTCAAGCCGTTTCGGTCAAAATGTAACTTATATGATTAATGTGGATCAATATGATTACGAGTATTAAATAGCCGCATTAATCATATTTTCTCTATAAAAACCACCTCAAACGCATGTGTTTGGGAGAGAGACATCTTTTTACTCACTACTACTAAGCAATACAACATACTTTATTCGCTTACAATTTCGCAAGGCATTGCATACTTCGTTCTTATCAAATTTCTTTACTTTATTCTTTTCTTGGTTAATTTCCCTTTCGAATTCTCATATTCATTCGTTGATTTTAAGAGTTTTTCTCCACTGAAATACTTAAAGACAATTGAGTGTGAATCCTACATCCACATTTTGGCGCTGCCTGTGGGGATCTACCACAAAACTCTTTAATCTCAAAATCTCTCTTTCCCAACCAAGAAACTATGTCTGACCAACAAGCGTTGAACGATTCAATCGCCTTGCTTAATCAGACAACCACTAATCTGACCACTCAGATTGGTACACTCGTTGATGCCAACACCACTTTTAACACCACTTTTAGTGAAAGGTTGAACTCAATCGAGCAAACCTTGACGAGTGTTCAAACCACCCAGACAGATTTATCAAACGCGCAGAACGTTGATTCAAGCCGTTTAGATACTTTGCCTTCAGTGCAGGTAGCAGCGCGTCAGCGTAGGCTATTCGTAACTCCCGCACAAAACAGGACCGGGAATACTCAAACTCCTCCAGCAGGCCAGCCTGCTAGTACTAGCAATCAGGCAGCCGTAGGGGATGGGACTAACCCAACCGGGGAAGTAATTCCCCAGGATCAGGGAATTCCTGCTATTGACGACGGATTCCTTATGGAAAATCCCGATGTCACCTTCTCACATGATTTCGTCAAACTTCGTCAAGAGCTTGATGAAATGAAGTCGAAGTTTCATCAGGCGACCAGTTCGGCGCCTGAAATCGATCGAGTAATCGAAGAAACTCGGCGAACACCGTTCACCTCGAGAATCTCGAACCTTCGGATCAAGGATTCTCGAAAGGTCAAATTACCAACTTATGATGGTAAAGGAGATCCTAAAAATCACCTCGCTGCTTTTTAGATCGCTGCTAGCAGAATCGATCTAGAACCAGACGAGGAAGATGCCGGATATTGCAAACTATTCGCCGAAAATCTATCCGAATCGGCCCTACTATGGTTTCCTCAGTTGGAGCCTGGAACTGTCGATAGTTTTAAGGAATTGTCCTCTGCATTCCTAAAACAGTATTCCATGTTCATGGAAAAGGCAACCTCTGATGCAGATCTTTGGAATTTAACCCAAGGTCAGAATGAACCACTTCGCAAATATATCGCTAAATTCAAAGAAGTGATAGCCAAAATTCCTGGGGTATCGCACGCTGCTGCCCTTTCTGCTTTAAGGAACGGACTCTGGCATGAATCCCGATTTCGGGAAGAAATCATCGTCAATCGTCCAAGCACCATCCAAGATGCTTTATTCAGAGCTACTAATTGGATGGAGGCAGAAGAAGAAAAGCTTAGCCTCGCTAAAAAGCATCGGCCAGCAAAATTGGTCGTTGGAAATCCAACGAAAAAGTTCGAACCAAAAGATCAAAAACGGTTCGGAGTCAATCCTGCTACTAATGCTGTAGGGAAACCCTCCCCAAACAGAGGAAGATACAATCCTCCTAATACTTGGGTTAGAGATGAGAGTGCCTATTGCGATATTCACAGAGTAAACGGGCACTCCACCAAAGATTGCAGCGTACTCAAAAAGCACCTCATCGAACTGTGGGCAGCTGGAGAGCTCGCTAATTTCAATATCGAGGAGTTTGTGGAATCTTACCACAAAGAAAAAGAAGATTCCGAAGCTTCTAATCCTCCTGAAAAGAAACATAAGCCCAATGGACCCGGAACTCCGAACACTCCTAAGAAAAGGATCGATGTTATAATGGGAGGATCCAAATTATGCCGAGATTCGATCAGATCAATCAAAAGGCACAAGAAATCAGCAGCAATTCAACCGCTGTAGGTTTTCAGTCAAATGAACAAACACCTTCTATCTCTTTTGACAATTCGGACACTCAAGGATTAATAGGACCTCATGACGATGCTCTTGTGATAACTTTAGATGTGGCGAACTTCGAAGTGACAAGGTGCCTAATTGATACTGGAAGCTCGGTAGATCTCATATTTCTAAGCACTTTGCAACGAATGGGAATCAGTAAAGCCGACATTATCGGTCCACCGGCACCATTGGTAGCTTTCACAAGTGACACATCTATGTCCTTAAGAAACATAAAACTACTAGTACTCGCTGCAGGGGTTCCAAAAATTGTAGAATTCATTGTTTTCGACCGTCCGGCCGCTTACAACATAATTCTCGAAACTCCGTGGTTATTCCAAATGAAGGCTATACCTTCAACTTATCATCAATCTGTGAAATTTCCGACTCCTGGAGGAATCGGAACTATTCGAGGAGATCAGGAAACATCTCGTTCTTGCTACCTCATGGGACATCGTTTAAAGCTCAAATAGCAATTAATGATAAACGCGAAGCAAGAAAGCACCTCGCGTTACCCAAGTGGTCTCAGTTCGAATGAAGTTACCACAGAAATTGAAATTGATTCCGAATTTCCAGATCGAAAAGTAAAAATCGGCACTACTTTAGATTCAGAAATCAAAGATCAATTGGTAACATTTCTAAAGGAAAATAAACATACTTTTGCCTGGTCAGCAAAAGATATGCCCGGAATCGACAAAAGTATCATTACCCATGAATTAAACGTCGATCCCAGTTTTAAACCATTAAAGCAAAAAAGAAGAAAACTGGGTCCTGATCGAGCTCAAGCGGTCAATGACGAAGTTGATAAGCTTTTGAAAATTGGTTCCATTAGAGAAGTAAAGTACCCAGACTGGTTAGCAAACCCCGTGGTAGTCAAAAAGAAGAATGGAAAGTGGAGAGTATGTGTCGATTTCACTGACATTAACAAAGCATGTCCTAAAGACAGTTTTCCTCTCCCTTATATCGATCGGCTCGTAGAATCAACGGCCGGAAATGAACTCTTAACATTCATGGATGCATTTTCTGGATATAATCAGATCATGATGAATCCCGAAGATGAAGAGAAAACATCCTTCATAACAGATAGAGGAATCTACTGTTATAAAGTTATGCCATTCGGTTTAAAAAATGCCAGGGCAACATACCAACGTTTAGTTAACAAAATGTTTGCAAAACATTTGGGCAAAACGATGGAAGTTTATATAGATGATATGCTCGTAAAATCTCTTAAGAAATCCGAGCACATCACTCATCTTGAACAATGTTTCAAAATTCTGAATGAGTTCGGAATGAAATTAAATCCAGCTAAATGTTCTTTTGGCGTACCTTCCGGAGAATTCCTGGGGTACATAGTCACGGAAAGAGGAATAGAAGCAAATCCTAATCATATTAACGCTTTCCTCACAATGCCTTCGCCAAAAAACATTAAAGAGGTCCAACGATTGATAGGCAGAATTGCTGCATTGAATCGTTTCATCTCAAAATCTACCGATAAATGTCTCCCTTTTTATCAAATTTTAAAAGGAAACACAAAATTTTGGTGGGATGATCAATGCGAAGCAGCATTTGGTCAACTCAAAACTTATCTGACAACACCGCCGGTTCTCTCAAAACCTGAGTCAGATGAGAAACTTTATTTGTACATTTCAGTTTCTAATCATTCGGTAAGTGGGGTTTTAGTTCGAGAGGACCGAGGTGAACAAAAGCCGATTTTCTACATAAGTAAATCTCTTACTAGTCCAGAAACGAGATATACCATGATGGAAAAATTAGCTTTAGCAGTAGTCATATCTGCTAGAAAACTCAGACCTTATTTCGAATCTCATCCGATAGAAGTTTTAACTTCTCATCCACTTCGCTCAATTCTTCACGGTCCAAGTCAGTCCGGTAGATTGGCGAAATGGGCAATCGAACTCAGTGAGTACGATATAAAATACAAAAGTCGAACTAGCACAAAAGCACAAGTTCTGGCTGATTTTCTAACCGAACTACCATTAGATGATGGAATCCTTATTGAAACGGACTCCATATGGAAATTACATGTAGATGGCTCTTCTTCTAAACAAGGATCCGGAATCGGTATTAGGCTCGAAACTCCGACAAAGGAAATAATCGAACAATCATTTCGATTAATGTTCCCGGCTTCGAACAATGAAGCGGAATACGAAGCTCTCTTAGCAGGACTTCGGCTTGCTCTTGCAATTGGAGCAGAAAAAATAATAGCTTATTGTGATTCTCAGCTAGTTGTAAACCAGTTCGCTGGAGATTACGAAGCTAAGGCTCCTCGAATGGAAGCCTATCTTTCGGCTGTCAAAAATTAGCCAGAAAATTCTAAGAATTCGAATTAGTTCGAATACCTCGACGAGAAAACACTTCGGCAGACGCTTTAGCTGCCCTAGCTTCTACCTCAGATCCCGAGCTCAAGCGAGTTATTCTAGTTGAATATATTTCTTCACGAAGTATTTCAGTTAAAGAAACAGGAAACGATAACATTTTGGAGGCCGAGCATATCGAAACTCCAAAATTAAGTTCCGGAAATGAAAATAGTTCGCTTGTTATCACCAGATCACGAGTAAAGTCTCAAGACGACGAACTTACTCCACCACTGGAACTTCCTAAAAGAAAGCCAAGAAGAAAATTAAAGGATCAAGAGGTTCCCATTAAAGAACCATCTCGAACTGAACAGTCACTTCTAGGTGATGAAGAAGTTCAGGAGACAGTCGAAGATCCTGATATTCCTTCCGAACCTGAACCAAGGAAGTTTATACTCAAGGATAATACTTCCGCTAATGATTGGGGGGCTGACTGGAGGGTACCCATCAAAAATTTTATTCTTAATGGAGAATTACCATCGAACAAGTGGCAAGCTCGCAAATTAAGAATCATCAGCGCTAAGTATTGCATAATTAAAGAGTCATAGTACAAGCGAGGTGTCAGTAACCCTTATCTTTTATGTATTTTCGGACCCGAAGTTGAAATAGTGACAAGCGAGGTTCACGAAGGGCTTTCTGGTAGTCATTCTTCGGGACGATCAATGGCTTTCAAAATCAAACGAGGATATTTTTGGCCAACTATGATTTCTGACTGCATCGATTACGCCAAACAGTGTAAAAAGTGCCAGATGCACGCTCCTCTTATTCACCAGCTGTCTGAATTTTTGTCATCTATATCCGCCCTATACCCTTTCATGAGATGGTCAATGGATATAGTTGGTCTGATGCATCGTTCAACACGAGGCGTCCAATACTTATTAGTTCTAACGGACTATTTTTCCAAATGGATTGAAGTTGAAGCTTACATAAACATAAAAGATTATGTGGTAAAGACATTCTTGTGGAAACACATTATTTGTCGCTATGGAGTTCCCTACGAAATTGTAACGGACAATGGTCCTCAATTCATTTAAAATGACTTTGAAGATTTTTGTTTCGCTTGGGGAATAAAACTTAGCTACTCAACGCCGAGGTATCCTCAAGGAAATGGGCAAGCGGAAGCTTCCAATAAAACCATTCTCAGCAATCTTAAAAAACGTTTGAGTGCTCGAAAAGGTGGGTGGTATGACGAGCTGCAACCTGTGTTGTGGGCTTATCGAACAACCCCGAGGCGAGCAACGGGAGAGACTCCATTCTCATTAGTTTATGGGATGGAAGCAGTAGTCCCAGCCGAGCTGAATGTTCCTGGTTTACGTCGGAGCGAAGCTCCACTTAACGAGGAACTGAATTCTAAATTATTAGAAGACGTTCTCGATACAATTGATGAAAGGCGAGACCAATCCCTTATTCGACTTCAGAACTATCAGCAGTTGATCGCTCGATACTATAACTCAAAGTTGAAAAACAGACCTTTAAATGTAGGAGACTTTGTTTTGAGGCGAGTGTTCGATAACACAAAAGAAGAAGGAGCTGGAAAACTCGGTATTAACTGGGAAGGCCCTTATCAAATCACAGAAAAAGTCCAAAATGGTGTATACTGTTTAAAAGACCTTGACGGAAATCCTGTTCAAAGGTCTTGGAACATCATCAACTTGAAAAAGTTCTATTGCTAAAATAAAAAATTTCGAACTACGATTTGGCTTGATCCTATTTTGGGTACGTATGCAACTCGCTAAACACGAGTCCAGCTATAAAAATAAAAATATTATTCCAATCATGGAGTCTTGTTTTTATCTTCGAGCATAAATATAAAAATACGTTGCGAACAATGTATGAAGAAATATTTTAGGCTAAACAAGAACCAGATCTAGAAGGGTCTTGGATTACGGAATAGCTCTGCTCCTTGGCCTGCGAGGTCAACGATGCTCATAATGCAACCTGGCATGTTTCCATACTCCTGAAGTCCTATCTCGATCCAATTGGAAGGATGGGCTTCGAGGCGATGAAGCTCGCGAGCAATATCGAGGCGACGCTTCTCTAGTTCCTTTCTCCTCTTCCTAATCTCTTTTTTCTCATCTTCGAGCTCGTCGTGCCGAGTGATGAGCTGAAGAAAATAAACGCTTCGTTTAGCAATGACAAAAGTAGTCAAAAACACTGGGGAAAACAATACCTTGTTAATAAATTCCTCAGCCTTGACACGATCTTGAGCTGATAATCTCTCGATTAATACGATCGGAACATGAATGCTGGTTCCCCTCCTCAATATTCGTGACTTTTCCGCTTCGCCAGTTCCTCCCGTTTTTATAAACTCGATGTCTGGCGCTCGCGGAAGATCATCGCTTATCATTCTGAATGAGTCAGAAGGATTCTCTGAAGAATTACCTTCCTCGACCATTTTTGTAGAACTATTGTTGATAAAACTCAATGATAAACTACACCCACTTTATACTCGAAAAATACTCGACCACATTTAAGAGGGTTAATTGACGATTTCCCAAATCTGAAATTACTACTTTCATGGAAAATGTAATCGAGTTAATTGCTAATTATATTCCCTAGATTAATCGCATTAAATAAGATTGAAGTAAATCGGCAAATTTAAAGCAAAAGGGGAAATATAATTAATGTCGCTGGGCCGCTAGCCCGATAGTATATTACAAAATAAGAAATATCTAAGAAGGAGGAGAGCTCGTAGAAGGGACTTCGTCATATGGCGAACCGTTTTCGCGTTCGTCGGGTTCAAGGCTCCTTTGGTAGATATCCCAATGCTTCTTCAGAAACCTGATGTGTTTTCGAAGGCAGCCGGGAATGCGAGCGATAGAATCAAATCCCCTCCTCTCCTAGTTATGAACATCCGACTCCAAACGTCGAATCTTCCTTTCAGTTCTAGCAATCCTGTCCTCAAGGACACGGCGTTTCCTTCCAAGGCGTTGCCTTTCGGAGCAGAGGAAAACGTACCTTTCGGTGATCTGTAAAGAACAGATGCATTACGAATCTATCGGGTAAAACCTTGAAACAACTGGTATCGAGGTCAAACCTGTTCCATGAATTTATGGCACTCGATCTTTTCTTCCTTAGACATGGAAGAAAGAAAACAAGGAATGGCCACTCCGTGTGGAGTAAATCCATCCCCCGTCGGAAACAGATATTCACTCAAAGGGAATCGTGGTGGATTAGGATCAGAAGGTTCGCCTTGGGGAGAGGTCATCGTAAATAAGAAATCTAGAAAAGAAGAACTGCAAAGTTCCTTATGAAGAAAAAGATCTATTGGAAAATTTCCAAAATCCAACTCTCCTTATATAGAAAAAATATATAAGGGCACTCACTCGAGTATTTATTGAAAAAGAAAGTTAAACGTCAATCTATTGATTTGACAGTTACAGTATTTCGATTTTTGCGTACATGCACAAACAAGACCTACGAAATATAAGTTATTCAACTATCACTTAACACCTAGTAGGCGAACTTAATTTCGAGCGTGAAATTCAAGGACAGTTAATAAATGGTATCATACCTTTTTGTCCTTTTAAAGAAAAACAAACAGTTCTCACTGAAAATCTTTTTAATCGAACACGTTTTGAAGTATCACAAAGTGTTCTTGTAAGCCGAGCTCTAACCTCGCAACCGAGAGACCGAGGAAAAATTCTAATGTTTTTTCTTTAAAAAAGGCAAGTAGGTCTGATCGCCTATCTCTCCTAATAAATTCTAAACCACTTCGGTTAGGAGGACTTTGCAAACCCTCCAGGTAAAATCGATGGTTTTCACCAAAGTTAAATATTTCTTTCTAAAGAAATTTTAATTAGAAACCCCCTTGGGTAAATTATTCAAAACAGTAATAAAAGCCCCCTTGGGCAAAAAACTCAGAAAGTAATAAACGGCCCCATAGCCAACAAAGCAAATTTCATGTCTTAAAATTAAAGGAACAATCCCCATAAAAGGTGAGTGCAATCACCATCATTCATTCATAGGCGAACCGCCTTCATCTCCTACTTGACTTGAGACAGGAGCACCCCCGGCGTTAGCATCTTGAGTTGTGAGAACCACCTCAGGGTTAAGCGAGCTAGCATCCTGAAGGGGGTTCGCTCATCGATTCAAAGTCATCTCCCATAATCGAGGAGGTGGCAGGATCCTGACCAGGGAACCCCTGAGTTCGTCCCGAAGAAATTCTGTCAACGCTGGTTCCGAACTCATTAAAATGAGCACGGGGAGAACCAGTTAACATCATCTCATCCAAAGACAAACCGGTATTAGGCTCAGTCAATGGAGGGGAATCAGCGAACTCAGAAGCAAACTGCTGCAAATCCAATATGGCTGAGGAGCAGTAGCTAGCTTAGCTTCAGTCTCGGCGAGCTCAGCGCCAACTGTCTCCTTTTCTTCAGCCAAATTGACTGTTCCTTCCTTTATCTCCTTGATCAGATCAAGATTGCTCTTCATCTCGTCACGCTCGGATTTAAGTTTGTTCCAAGCTTTATCCGCGGAGATAAATTCTTGCACAGCAAGAAGGAACTTTTGCCCGGCTCCTTTAACCTCTTTCCGAGCATCATGAGATATCTTGTGAACATCTTGATCTTTCAGTGTGGAAAGAGATTCATTTTTGGGTTCGAGCTCCTCAGCGACTGTTTTGACCTTGCTAAGCTCTGATTTCAGAAGCTCGATCTCACCTCTCGCAAAGTCATGATCAGCAAGGACAGTTTTTAGTTTTTGCTTTGTCTCAGTCAAATTCTTCTTTGTCTCCTCGCCAGATCTCTCGAGTCGCTCGATTTCTTCCAGACGAGACGAGTCGAGACCAGCAGTCTCCTGCACAAGCCGATTGGAAGATTGCAGTTTCTCAATCTCTCCTTCAACAACAGCAGCTTTCTTGGAAACTTTGGCAAGCTCCTCTTCGTAATGGTTGATGATGCTGTTCACATCCAGAGTTGCCTGATAAAAGAAGATGCATTAAAAAAAATTCAAAATCGATTGTTTAAGGATTCGAATAGTCAAACCTGGGAAGAGTGGAATGAATGAGTGATATACATCTTCTTGATGTCAGGCCTCCAGCGCTCAAAGGACGGAAGTTTCTTCCCAAAGCGAGTGTGGAAACATCTAAAGATATTTCCAATCTTCTCTCTATCTAAAATAAAGATATTTATGTGAGGATTGAGCCTCCTAAAAGGTCGGTTAATCTCAAGTAACAAAATGTTAATTGAAGGTTACCTGATTGGGATGAAGCTCTGGCAACAAGTCTTGAGCTCGGAGACGATCGAGCCCTAGAGGTATTACCTCGGGGACTCTAGGGGGTAGCATCCCTGAACTCAGCGGTTCCTTTAAAACAATTCCTGAATCAGGGTTTTCTTCCTGAGCTTCAGTAGATTCAGGAATTGACAGGTTCGAAGGAGCGGCTCTGTCCTTCCTTGTGCTCTTGGGACGTCCCTGGAGCGGGGGTTCGAGTTCCTCAGCCTTCCTCTTCTTCATGAAAGAAGAATCGCCTGTAAGACCTTCCTCTTCAGCAGTGGCAGTGACCATGTTGTCTGCTGCTGGGGTAGAGGGAGGAGCATTGTTTATGGTGACCGCCATTGACTTTGAACCTTCAAGAGACCCGTCGTCAACTAGAAGAGTTTTCCGGTAGATTTTGTCATCCCCGGCGCGCGGAGGATGCATTTTTCTTGTTTTTTCCAATCTGGGAGATCTGATCTTTGACCTCCTTGTCTGCT